AGAGATATACATAAACAAAGCATGTCAGCTCTTGTGGGATAGTCTTACAAGTGTTGATTCCAACACAATAGCCCTTTATCTTACATGTTAAAGCAGCCAATTTGCATGTGCTGGAAACCTGGAGACCTGGTGTAAATTAAACTGGCTTTTATTTTTGATAATTTAAATACTAAAATGATTTCAAATAGCTTTGCATAAATAAATCAAATTTGGCCTGCTGCACTGATTTGGAAGAATCAAGGTTATATTTTTAAAAGGAAGGGTTGATAATTGCATTAATTATAGCGATTAAAATAATTTTGTATACCACTGTATTTGAGGTTGAACAAAATTAGATTTTTGAGAGCTCTTCATACGCATATCTCAAAAAAGTTATTTTTCACTTAAGGTTCTTCAACTGAAGCACATTTTATATTCTAGCATCTATAATGGCATATCTGAAATCGTTTTTGGCTTTTTGGGTATATAATGGAGATTCAAGCCTGAAGTAATGTTCATAAATAGACAATGTGTAAATATAATTCAAAATGGCTACTAATTTTTTGCCGTTTGTGTCCCCATCAACAAATCTTTCAAGAAATTAATTACAGCATCCCTGTTAGCTTTTCTTCTACCAATAATCATCATTAAGACTCAGAAGAGTAGATATGCTGTTCTCTATTAAGGCTAAATCAGATATGGTTAATATGTTTAGATTAAGAGCAGAACTGGAATCAAATAATCAATGAACAAACTAAGTCAATGTAATGTTTGAGAACAGACACAGTTTGAAGAAATATTCTGACTCAGGATCAGAAAATAAAGGTTTGGCTAAATACCTCTAAGTAAAGGTTTTAAATTTATTTTATATTTTATTTTATTTTATTTTTGCTTTCTTTTGTAGGCACTGGCTAGGAAACTAATGCCAAAGTTCCTCTAAAACAGGGGTGTCCAAACTTTTTTCCTTTTCCTTTCCTCTCCCCTCTCTCTCTTTCTCTTTCCTCTCCCCCTCTTTCTCTTTCCTCTCTCTCTTTCTCTTTCCTCTTTCTCTTTCTCTTTCCTCTAACTTTCTCTCTTTCCTCTCTTTCTCCTTTCTTTCCTCTTTTCTTCTCTTTCCTCTTTCCTTCCTTTCTCTTTCCTTTCTCTCTTTCCTCTCTCTTTCCTTTATTTCTCTTTCCTCTTTCTCTTCTCTTTCCTCTTTCTTTCCTCTCTCTTTTCTCAATCTTTTTTCTTTCCTCTTTTTCTCT